TATTAACAGATGGATGAACGAATTTTATCGATTGAACATACGAGACATGAGCATATGTCACAGTACAATAAAAGCTCTTATAAGTTAAGCCGTAAGAAGATTATGCCTTTATTTAAACCATATATCAGCAAACAACGATGAGTCTTTTGTGATGCGAGCCAAAATAGGAATGACGAAGTTCGACTTCAATGTCGTTCGACACTACGCGTCCACCACCTTAGACCACTTATTAAGAAGAAGTGTGGATGGTTGGCATTGGAGAAAATATAGGTGCGCATTTGCGAACATGCTTTCAGATTGCGTTAAAAAAATAACTTAAGCAGTTCATCAAAATGCAGGCATTCACTAATTGTCATCAGCCTGACGGCCCATGTAATTTAAAAAGATTTACTTTGAGAAGTACCAGACAAGAAACATAAGTAAAAAGAAGAATGCATGACTTAACGGAAAGGTACTGAGTAGGTCTTAAAGCCCAGACCTGCCTCAAACGTACAAAATAGCACACATTTCTACTGTTTTTATCAGCAACCAGCTTAACATGCTCGGACTCTGATATGATTTCATGTAAAACAATTCAAAGATGTTTTGTAGAGTTTTCATGCAGCATACCATCGTCAGCAGTTTTGGAAGCAAAGTCATATAAGTGTAAATGCTCCGTACATAGGATCAAATGACACTTTTCGCAATTAAACCGCATTAACATATTGGATGAGCTTCTAACAAAGCTGGAAAAATTGTTTTGATGAATTTAATTATAGTGATAGACACTGTCGTTAGCCTATTTGAAAAATCATGAGGTAACTGAATCTATTATCTGGAATGTTCAAGATAAAGAGGAGACAGCATCTCACATCTTAAAGTTCTCTAATGTTGTGTGTTTGAAGGACCGATCCCAAAGGTTCACCAAGCCAGTAATGCATGAAGAAGAACAACAGTTGTATAATAAAATAATGTAATATATGATGCTTCGGCTATTCACAGAAGGGAGAACAACGCATAAAGTTATATTTTCTGAGCTGTACTGTTTACCAAAGGTACACAAGCGCATGTTCTTATGCGACTCACTGTTGCATCATCATCTTGCATTTCAGTTGTGTTTGCGTGACTGCTTCAGTTGAAATCACATGAAAAAAATTCTATAAAGTTCGTCGAACAGACTTTCTCACGAAAGAATGACAATGTTGAAATTTTGGTGAAGTACGACGCGTAAGAGACATCTTCCCAGTACTCCTGTCTAATGTTAAGTTGGCCTGGTCGAAGAACAACTTGTAAGAGGCTTAGACCTCAAGAAGAAACTATCTTTCGCTTTAGCTTCGATTTTTAGGCTGCTCTGGAAATGTTACATTGATTTCAACTATTTTCAATAATATCATCAGTACAAAAAGTCCCTATGCTAGCTCATTTGTCCTCTGCTCTGGTTCATAGGTTTATGGAACAATTAGAACACTTGACCTTCACTACGGACAATAAAGTTGTCTGCCCGACGCTTTTAAAAGGTGCTGATGATATATGCACCCTCTGCAAAAATAGAACTGAAATGCCATTTCTGAAACATCTAAACAGTTTATTTCCAAGCCTCCTAGTCTTGACCGTAAAGAACGAAGAAAACGGCACTCTACTCTTCTTGGATCTTACCTGACCACGGTGTTTCGCAAGAAGATGCATTTCGACAGGTATTTACTTCACTCTTCTTATCAGCCAGATTGCGACATCCAAAGATGTCGTCAGTACACTTCTTCAAAGAGAACAAAAGATATGCACAGCACATTATGATTTTTGCTAAGAACCAAATCACATTGGATCAACGCGGCAAAAACAAAATGATCCTATGATGACATTTAACGAATGTCTGGCAAGTTTATTAAGATGAACAGCCTCTTACTGTTCACCTGATGACAAGACCTACAGGACGTTCGCTGAGTGAAAACCTACGAAGTATTGGATTCTCAGTCGGACTCATTTTGGTGTTTGAACCTGGTGTAACTCTACACAGACGTCAAAAAGGACTTCAAGACCATAAATCCTGAGGGACTGAAGTTGGTTTTGTGCACCAAATTCCTTGCTTCTGTGGTTGGATTTATATAGTCGAAACGGAAAACACAGTTAACAGAAGGAAGACAGATTACAATAGGAATCTGACGAGGTCAACGATAATGTCAAAAAAAGGGTCATCTACAAGTCGGCAGAAGACGGTGGCAAATGAAAAACCCAAAAATTATCAATAAAAAATGTGAGAAAAATTCCGCTATGATGGAACACGTTGTAGCATATCAGCATAACGTATCTTAGGACAAAATAAAATGTGTACCGCGAGAACAACCATATCTACAGCGCAAAGTCAATGAGGTGTTACTGATCCGCGCAACCAACTACATCAGTCGAACCTTGGAACAGACGTCGGCGACATATGGACCGCAAACATCAAGCAATTGCTTACGGCCAGTAAAAAGGCGCGACACCATAAAGCATACGAGTCAACCCGATATGGATGATAGCATTATGTGCCATATTGATTGTAACTTTGAAAATAGACCGAACTTGGTCCGAAATGTCGGACGGTCTTGCTAAATAACAATACGCATTGGTCTTCTGCCTATGAAATAGCAAAGCATCATATCATCTAGCGCATAAAGAAATCCTGTGTCATTTTCAGCATTATGTATTTTTCCATTCTAAAAATATATTTATTTAAATCCTCCTGCGGTTACGGTCTGCCCACTATGAACAATCTACTTAATTACCGTGATACTCATTGGTACACCTGGAATCATGATGTATTGGAGCATGGATCAGTCATTACACTGGTAAATGTTTCGCCTTGCCTATTTTCTTCCGTAATGGATGCTCGCTGAAATGAGCGACAAAGCTGTCAAATACATAATGACTATCGAAATCCATAGCGACCAGCAAGACTGAATAACTAAAATGTGCATATCAAAGTTTGCAATGAATGAGCGAACGAATATTCTGCTACTTAAATGAAATGACCAGACGAATCCGATTTTTCAGCATAAAAAAGCTTTAATAAATAACGGAATGAAAAAGCGGTATACTGAACTGATGTCATATACAGACTTAGGGATGCCGCATTTTGAAAATATTGAAGCTGCGGTCATGCGGTGTAGTTATTCACATGCTACTGTTGTTATTACGCTTGTTATTGGTTGTTGCGGTGTTGTTATTCACATGCTGCTACACGGTGTTTTTGTTCACATTCAGTCCGTATTTTCGGCCAGGTGTTCAAAATGACTTTGGGAACATGCAAAGAGGTTTTATGGCTGCTTCACAGACCTTACAGCATCTTGCCATGCATCAGCTTCATTGAAACTGTGGAGTGTTTTGCAGGAATAAAACTGCGTGACGCTGGTTTTTGATTACAATTTATAAGTTCTTTAAGCGTTGCATGGAGATCTGTGCCCAGATTATTGCACGAAGAAGGTGTCTTTCATGGTACGCTCTGGACTCCGCCAAAGATGTGTATTGCCTCATCTTCTGTTCGTAACTTCTATGAACTTCTATAGTGTCGTCAAACGATGTTGCTCAAGCATGTATAAAGTCGCAGTTGTAGATGTGCGACTGACTCACTTGTTGTTCATACGTCGTTGT